ATGATGTTTTTTTATGAAATTCAAAGGCTTGTAGCACACTACCAATCAATAATTGATCAATTTCTGCATTACCTTGTCCTAGAGGACCTGGCAGACCCATATGGGATCAGATGTGTGTTATGTACAAAGGGCAATGCCTGTTCCTGATCAAATCTTGAACCTGGATAAATAATGAGGTTAGTTCAGTATCATCAGGTATAAATTCAGCAGTTTCAATATGTAAAATAACTCTTTCTGCATATTGTGAATCAGTAACTATATTAATAGGTTCTTTAAAATCCCTTAGCACCATAAGAATGGCATATAATTCTGCCTTCTGGACAGAATCATAAGGACTTTGTTCCACCTTACCCAAGTCTTCTGATTTGTAACCTGCCTTCTCTGATTTATTGGCATCAGTATAGAATGTACGGGCTCCAGTTATTGGAGCATCACAGACGATTCGAGGAAGGATCCAAGAAGTTCTCTTTATGAAGTTAAGCTGCTTGCTTTTTGGATAGTTGTTATTAATGTCTCCCAAAAAATTAGCACAAGTTCTTTGCCATGGTTCATTATCTTCCCATAATTTCTTTAGTTCATCAGCAGTGAAAGGCACTATAATTTCTGCGGGGTCTATGCCTGCTAGTTGACAAAGTCTCCGCTTGCCTTTTATAATTAACTCAGAGACTTTTTCAACATAAGTTTTTAGTTTCTTACTTGGTTTATGTGGTAAAAAGATCCATTCCAAGATAATATCATCTGTCTGCATTAAAATTCCTGTAGGAGAAATTTTTGATGGTAGTATGATGAGAATACAATCGAGCTCTGGATTCACCCTGTCCACATGTGCCTGTTGTAATTTTTCCTCAATCATTGTCAGTTCCTTTTCTGCTTCAGCTGTTAATTCTCTGGGACTGTTTAAATCTTTATCACCATCCAAGGTTTTGTTCAAATGAATTATTATATCAGGTGTTATCCCAATAGCTGGTCGTAGACTGGAATTGTCTCCTAACAGTCTTTGAAAGTCATTAAGAGTCAGTAGGCGATCTCTTCTAATGTGTGCCTTTTGTGTCTTAATTTTTTGCAAACCTATTTTATAACCTAAATAATTAACAGAATCTCCCTTCTGAATCTTTTCAGGAGCAATTTGCAATCCCCATTTAGGTAAAAGTATCTTTATTTCTTCAAACAGCCTGTTCAAGGCATCCATGTTTGAATCGGATAACAAAATGTCGTCCATGTAATGGTATACTATAGATTTGGGAAATTTCTTGTGTATTATTTGCCTTTCTACCCTTTGCTCTTCTTCATCAGAATTTAGAAATTCCTCAATCTTTTCAATTCTATTCACTATTGCCTTCTGCAATGTCTGAATCTCCTGTCCAGAATTATGTTCCAAAGCCTTCATTGAGGATTCTAAAGTATGAAGTTTGTCCATTAGAGATAACATCTCATCTTTGGTCATAATTTTTATGGCATAAACCGTGCCTTCTTGTATTGACAATATTTCTGCAAATCTGTCATAAGCTTTAGACAAAATCCGATTGTCACATTCAGCAGTTTTGATTCTCTCAGTTAATGTTTCATTTCCTACAGAAAGGGACTGAAGCTTACGATCCAAATCAGCTGTTCCCTCTTCCATAGTAATGAATTTCTCCTTAACATCAGCCTGGAGAATTTCAAACTGATTCTTGAGAAGATTGTTGTCATTCTCAATTGTTTTTAAGCGTTCAATCTCTGCCTTAAGAATCCTGGATTTGTCTTGTAAAGACTTTATCATATTTCTATTATCAAACCATTTAGTGCCAATGAAAACTACGAATCCCAGAAGGATCCATAGATGTGGGGTGATAGACACCTCTTGTAAAATCTCCCACATGGTACAATTAAAAAAACTGTTAAATTCTTGAACAGTAACGTGTTCAGGCATTTTATTTATAAAAGAAAAATTTTTTACCTGCAATGATCGGTTCCTGCCAGTGGTGGTCTCTGTGTTTTTGGAGCCTGTCCTAGAACTAGCTCTTGTAGACCAGGCTGGCCTCGAACTCACAGAGATCTGCCTGTCTCTGCCTCCCAAGTGCTGGGATTAAAGGCATGTGCTACCACCGCCTGGCCGGCCTTGAACTCACAGAAATCTGCCTGCCTCTGCCTCCCAAGTGCTGGTATCAAAGGCATGCGCCACCACCGCCCGGCCAAGTCACTTAGTATCAGACCAAATCAGCCACTGTGGTGGTTTTTGTTGCAAAACCGCAGGTACTTGAGCTTCTGCTAATTCAGGCCATAGGGTTCTGCTGCAAACTTAGCCAAGGCAGGCAGAATGGGCCTGTGTGGCCGAGTGTGTCTCGGACTCCGCACTGGGGAGTCACAAACTAAACAACAGCACCCGGGAGGGTGCTGTGTTATCTAGTGGGCTACCCGCTTGAGTCGGGGGCAAAATAGCCCGACATTGGACGCCAAAATGTAACGGCATAAACGAATGAAGACAGATTGTAAAAATATATATACAGCTTTAATGGCAAAATAGACTTACAGAACCACCGTTCCCGCCGAGACCAGGAAAGCAGAAGAAATGGCTGGGAGCACGTTCGCCAAATTTATAGGCAAACATTAGCCTAAAGGGCGGGACTTATCACTACAGTTTCATCTTAGATCTTCAGACCAGGAGGTTTCACTGTGCAGCCCCATGCAGTTCACACTCACAGTCCCACAGCTAGGGAACAGTTTTGCCCCTAAGCATCTCTGGTACAGGTTAGTCAACTTGTGTGAAATTTGCATACATGAAATCGCACACTCTGCATTCTCTTGGCACAGCTTTCCCACCTTGTGATGTCATGAGCATCAGTTTCCTCTTCTTTGTTTTCAGTGCACTTGGTTCACTATGTACCCATCATAGAGAGAACATCTGCTTCACTGTGCATCCATCATAGAGAGAACATCTGGTTCACTGTGTGTGCCCATCATAGAGTGAACATCTGGTTCACTGTGCATCCATCATAGAGAGAACATCTGCTTCACTGTGCATCCATCATAGAGAGAACATCTGGTTCACTGTGTACCGATCCTAGAGTGAACATCTGGTTCACTGTGTACCCATCATAGACTGAACATCTGGTTTACTGTGTGTGCCCATCATAGAGTGAACATCTGGTTCACTGTATACCGATCCTAGAGAGAACATCTGGTTCACTGTGTATATGCATCATAGAGAGAACATCTGGTTCACTGTGTACCCATCATAGAGTGAATGAACATCTGGTTCACTGTGTACCCATCATAGAGTGAACATCTGCTTCACTGTGTACCCATCATAGAGTGAACATCTGCTTCACTGTGTACCCATCATAGAGTGAACATCTGGTTCACTGTGTGTGCCCATCATAGAGAGAACATCTGCTTCACTGTATGTGCCTATCATAGAGTGAACATCTGGTTCACTGTGTGTGCCCATCATAGAGTGAACATCTGCTTCACTGTGTATATGCATCATAGAGTGAACATCTGGTTCACTGTGTACCCATCATAGAGAGAACATCTGCTTCACTGTGTGTGCCCATCATAGAGTGAACATCTGCTTCACTGTGTATATGCATCATCATCATAGAGTGAACATCTGGTTCACTGTGTACCCATCATAGAGAGAACATCTGCTTCACTGTGTACCCATCATAGAGAGAACATCTGCTTCACTGTGTGTACCCATCAGAGAATGAACATCTGCTTCCAAACACTTGTGGTGAAAAACAGCCACCATTTCTGGTGCCCACATCAGACATTCCGTGAGGTCTATGAGATTTCTATCTAGGGGTCAAATCTCTGAGTTACAAGGTACAGCTTCTAGAGATGACTTCCAACCCACAGAGAGGACTCTGCCACAAGAGGTGTGGTATGACCAACAGGCCAACTCTGGGACTACTCACTTCTTAGTCTTGCTTCTGGATGCCCCACCTCCACGAAAGCTCACCGAGCATAAAGCCACATTTGAGGAGTCGGTGAAATGGCTCAGAGGGCAAATGTGTCTGCCACCAAGCCTGACAACCTGGGTTCAAACCTGGGACCCACATGGTGGGGAAAACTGATTCCAGCATGTTGAAACATAACATGGGCCTGTCCAATCCTGGTACAGAACACAGACACCAAGTTTGTATTCTACTTCTCTCAGTCACCCCAACTGTTAAGGTACAAATTGCACTGTGACAAATCTATTGAAATTTATTTTATTATTATTATTATTTTTTTTTTTTGGTTTTACGAGAAAGGGTTTCTCTGTAGCTTTGGGCCTATCCTGGAACTAGCTCTTGTAATATTGTTAAGGTTTAACAGTCAGTTGTGGTGGCACACACCTTTAATCCCACTGCTCAGAGGCAGAAGCAGGAATATCTCTATGAGTTCAAGACAAGGCTGGACTACAAAGTGAGTACCAGGACAGCCAGGACTACACAAAGAAACCATTTCTCAAAAAACTTTCTTTCTTTCTTTCTTTCTTTCTCTCTCTCTCTCTCTCTCTCTCTCTCTCTCTCTCTCTCTTTCTCTCTCTCTTCTTTAGCTAGGATCTACACTATGTCAACCAGACTTGCCTCAAACCCATGAACTGCCTTAGCTTGCCAAGTACACACAAACACCACTGCTTCAGGTACTGCTACTATTTTCTCCTGGTGCACAAATTTTAAAAAATTTAAGTACAAGACAGAATCATTTCTTTTACTTCTAGGTTTAAACCACTAACCCAAAGAGACCACTGAGAAGAATTAAAGCTGAAGGAAAATATATTTTTGGAATAAAAATTTATACTACTCCTTACACTATTCTGCAATATTCATTTACTTTTATTGGCATGACAATTATGCAAGTCATAAGAGTATCTTGTTAAACATGATCTTATTACAAGTGAAAACTTACCCGCCACCACCTTCTGTTGCTGAGAGGGCAACTCAGGGCCTTGTGAGTGCCAGGCAAGCACCACACCCCACAGCCCCTCTTTTCCTTATATTATCGTGTAATAAAGACAACAGCAAACAGCAAAGTTGCCACCTTCCAACCCATCTGTGATGGCTGTTTGGAACAACACTGAAAAACAAAGTATTTATTGGAATATCTGATCAATTCTGACTCACAAAGCAGAACTTCACATGGAATGTTTTGAGAATTTACAAGTGCTTTTTCCCTAAGTGGGCCCTTTGGTAATGTGTCTCCTTCAGCTCCATCCATGACTGCCACAGCAGCAGGCCAGGGATCAGAACCCACAAGCCATTAAAAAACAGCAAGTAGACCCAAAAGTAGAGCCAGCTCTCGGTGTTGATGTTGGGGCTTCCAACAAGCCACTCGGGGAAGAAGGTCATCCAGCCACCGTAGAGTTCACACACACACAAGGTGATCTGTATGAAATGCCTGTGGGAGAACACACGACATGAAGCAGGTACAGCTTGGGACTCTGAATTACGGCATCTTTTATTTAGTCTTTACTACAGAAACGTGTGGGCTCCTGGGTGGCGCTTCTCTGTTGTAAAGGTGACAACTGTCCTTCCTCAAAGGGCACTGCGGAGAGTAAATGGACTATGTAGATGAAGGGTCTTCATTACCTGTGGCTGACACAGGTCATGCACATATTATCAGTGCTGGAGACAACACACATGTAAATTTGCAATGTGTCCACAAATGTGGTCATGGAGCCAAAACAATGTTAAAGCAGTCAAGAAAAATCACTGCTAACTATCTGTGGAAGTGGTGGGGAAAGGGGATTAAAAGCTGGAGGACTCTCTCAAATCTGAGATTTCATGACAAAGCTTTACATCTTGAAGTCTTACATAAAGCTCCTGTCTTGCCGGTAAACATGTTTGCAACTGCATCCAAACGTGGCGCGGGCACTGGGCAGCTAATATCCCCCCCTTCCCGCTGGATGGCAGTGAACTTACCGGTAATATTTCTCCTTGACTATGGCGTAAATGAGAACCAATGCCAGAATCCCATCCAAGACAACAGTCAGAATTTCCAAAGACACAATGGTTGGGTCAAAATACAGCCATCTTGCATCAGCCTTGCCGTATTCTTTCCCTAAAGACAAAATACCTGTGTTTATTCTCTCAGCTGGCAAACATTTTGTGTTGTTAATCTTTTAGGGAGAAGACAAACAAATGGGCTGCATCATGACAATTTCAGACAAGCCATCGGTTTATTCTGTTTATTCATGCGCGCCACCTCATTACCCCCTCTGCTGCTCTCTTTTCTCCCCTAAATGGCCGCTTTCTACTTCCATGCCCTGTATACCTCCTAATCTCTATTTGCAGAAATGTGGTCTTGCCCATTTATTGATTGGATGATTTGGTTTTGCCGCTTAATTTGTTTGTTTGTTTGTTTTTCGAGACAGGATTTCTTTGTGTAGGCTCTCCTCATTCCTTACTGAGTAGGAATCTTTAAACTTCCTGCAATCCCATTTGCTAATACTTGCTATTATTTCCTGTGTTATTGGATTTTTGTTCAGAAAATCCTTGCCTGTGCCGATATCTTGAAGAGTTTTCCTTATATTTCTCTCTATTAGTTTAGTATTTCAGGCCTCATGTTAAGGTCCTTACTCCGTCTAGAGTTGGTTTTTATACAATGTGGAAGAGGGGCTAGTTCCACTCTTCCTCATGGACTATCCAGTCCTCACACTCTTGTTGAAAGGTTGTAATCTTTTTTCCCAATGTGTGTTTATGTCAGTTTGCCCAACATCTGGGAGCTGTGCCGTTGCATGGGTCTGTTTCTGGGTCTTCTATCCTTGTCCACTGCTCTGTGACTAGTAAGCCTTTTTATGACAGTTAATGAGAACGACCATTGTCTTACAACCCTCTCAACGCCTGTGGAGGGCAAGGACGATCTGGGGCTACTGTGCCCCTCACCCTTGACCTAAGGCACAGAGCTGCTCTACTTGTAAAATACAAGCACATCCACGTATGTGACTCTACCCTTGGCCCTCTTGGTTACAAGTTGCAGGAGTTGAAATTAGTTCAACACAGTCAAATTTTGCAAACACAATATTTAATAATGATGGTTCTAGAGCCTGGGGAGACAGTTCTGTTGCTAAAGCTCTGGCCTCAGAAGCATGTGGACCTGAATTCAATCCCCAGCACTCATGTAAAAAAATGTCAAGCAGGCGACACACACTTGCAATCTCAGCACTGGTAAAATGAAAACACGTTAAGCTTACTGACCCATCAGGCCAGCCATTAGCAATGAGTCTCATCAGTGAGCTCCAAGCCAAAGAGATACCTTGTGTGGCAGGAGGTGGATGCCATTCTTGCGGCTACCTGAGGTTGTCCTCTAACGTACACAGGCAAGCAAGCACACCTACCTCGCAGTGTATTGTGGAATATTATTTTAACTGGTCAAAGATGTGTTATATATGTTGATGCTGTAGAATATTGCTTTAACTATGTAAAGGTTGTTACATTTGTTTCTGCTGCCTTTGTTAATGATATAACGATGTGTTACATTTGGGTACCCTGCATTTGTTTAATTATGTCAGAGACATGTAGCATTTGTTTCACCTTGCCTGCCTAATTGCACCTGATTGGTCTAATAAAAAAAATGAATGGTCAATAGTTAGTCAGAAGAGGGATAGGCGAGGCTGGAAGGCAGAGAGAAAAAATAGAATTCAAGAGGAGAGGAGAAAGAGGAGCCTGGGGAGAACGAAGGGTACAGGCCTGGGGCTGCAGCCAGAAAGCCAGACAGAGACAGCAGAAAAGTACAATACACAGAAAAACAGAAAGAAAGGTAAAAATCTCTCAGGTGAAAAGAAAAATAAAGAGAAACAGATTAATAAGATCTAAGATAAGGCCGAACATTCATAACTAATAAGAAGTTTCTGTGTCATGTTTTGGGAGCTGGTTGGTGGCCCAAAAGAGAGCCTGGTGTGTTTCTTATCACAACCTAGGATCACATGGGAGATGGGCATCTGGGGCTGGGGCTGGGGCTGCTTTGCTATCACTAATGGAGGCGGGAATCCTGCCCACTGGGCAGGGAATCCTGGACTGTGTGAGGACTGAGAGAGCAAGCTGAGCATCGTATGCGTGTGTCCACGGCTCTCTGTTCCCGACTGTGGTTGTAAAGGGTCAAACTCCTGCAAACTCCCACCACAGTGACTTCTGGGCCACGAGGGACTGCTCCTGAGCTCTGAGCTGAGCAAACCCTTCTCCTTCAGGTGGCTTCTGTCATTTTATCACAGCGGCAGGAACAGAAAGTAAGATACACATGCATGAAAAAAGGCAGGCAGGATGGCTCAGTGGGTAAAGGCTCCTGCTGCCAAGTCTCACAAGCTGTGTTACACCCCAAGGACCCACGGTGTTCACACACACACACACACACACACACACACTAATTTAATTTTAAAAGTTAACAATCTTATGAAAACATTACACTTACTTCAAATATAAAGTTTTCAAGTGTAATTTAGATGTGGGAAATTATAAGGAAATATTTCTTAGAACACATTCTGTGGAACTGGAGAGAGCACAGTGACTGAGGGCACCTACTACTACTGCAGAGGGCCCAGGTTCCGTTCCAGCACCCATCTGGAGGCTGCCACCCCCTGTAACTGCAGTTCTAGGTGATCTGAAGCCCTCCCGCTTCTGGCTTCGGCGGGTAGCAGGCCTGCATGTGGTGCACATATATACACATACATTCAGGAGAAACATTCGTGCACATAAAAACAAATAGATCTTATATAACAAAGCATATTCGTGCCTGGACATAGTGGCCCATGCCTTTAATCCCAGCACTTAGGAGGCAGAAGTGGGTAGACCTCCATGAGACCCTGTCTTCAAAATCCCATTTTGTGATTTTTGAATGTTTACTTAGTTTTACTAGAGAGAAGTTTCTACCATTCCACCCAGGCTAGCCTTGAGCTTGCGATAGCCCACCTCTGCCTCCTGAAGACACCCGGCACACCTGCCAGCTGAAGACTGAGTGCTGAAGGCCTCAGATGACACAGATATGTAATAAATAAATGAAGATAAAAGCAGAGTAGAATAACAACATAAAGAAAAGAAGGAAAAACAAAGACACACAGTAGACAATGCAGACTTGCAGATGCCAAACCTGAAAGCACTAAGAGATGCTGGCGCCTGGCTCACTGACTTAACCACACTGGTATAGAACACACTGGGAAGTCAATATTAGTTGTCTAAGTGTTGGTCAGTTTACGCAGAGTGTAAAGAAGATGGCAAAACTACTTTATAGCTCTATAGGGTAGGAGGAAATGTGGGATTCCCCTCTGTATGCTGTGAATACCATGGGTTAATAAAGAAACTGGCTTGGCCTGATAGAGTAGAACTTAGCTAGGTGGGGAAAACTAAACTGAATGCTTGGAGGAAGAAGGCAGAGTCAGGAAAAACTATGGAGCCGTAGCCATAGACAGACATGTTGAAACCTGGCCAGTAGGCCCCAAGCCTTGTGGTAAAATATAAAATAATGGAGATGGATTAGTTCTAGATGAAAGAGCTAGCTAGCAATATGCTTAGGTAATTGGCCAAGCAGTGATTTAATTAATACAGTTTCTGTGTGGTTATTTCAGGAGTCTGGGCAGCCAGGAAATGAAAAGTGGCCTCCTTACAACAAGGAAGTTTGGACGCCCAAAGAGGCCAAAGGTCAGAGAGTTTGGGACTTGTTTCTAATTCATTGAAGGTTATCATGCTTCTAACAAAGGTCCCACCTAGTTGTAAATCGGAGTTCTGCTCTTTCAAGGCCATTGTCAACAGGTCCTGCTCCTGAAATAGGGAAGTAGTTGGTTCCTACCTAAAACAAAAGTCTAAGGATCCAACTAAGTTCCAGTTCAATTATGGAAATAACTTGGGATTTCACCCAGGGAGTGGTTAGCCTACAGAGTGTTTGGTCTAGGGCATGAATCAAGGACATGAGCAAGGAATGTACCCTGCTACTTTCAATTTGTTGTACGTCAATGCAGTCTTTTGTCTTACTCCTACCTTTTGGGGCAAGGGGCAAATCAACCAGTTGGAAATTAAACACAGGCGAAATTTTAGTACTCACTGAAATTCCCTCCTAATACTATCCTACATGTTTCTGCGTTTTATTATTTTCATTTGTGTCTTCGTATTCTTTACTATATTTCTAAATCCCCACGCCTCCACTCTGGAAGAGGTATTTTTGTCAAGGCTGGCCCCCGACAAGGAGGGATTTGGAGAATTATTTAGAAGATAGGTATAGACATACAATCAAGGGCAGACTGTGGGCTGGAGAGATGGCTCAGCAGTTAAGAGTATATATATGCTTTTCCAGAAGACCTGAGTTCAGTTACCAGCATCCACACTGGGCACTCACAACTGCCTGACTCCAGCTCCAAGGGAGCTGGTGCCCTCTTCTGGCCTCTAGGACACTGCTCACATGACAAACCCACACAGACACACATGCAGAATTAAAAATAAAGTTTAAAAAGTAAATTTACATAAAATATCTGTGGAAGCACCCAGTTTAAGAACTGCAGGCCTTTTGGTGTCTTTTGTTTTATAGTGTTGTGTAGAGGCTCACACATGTTAGGTGAGCACTCAACCACTGAGCCACACCCCAGCTGTATACACTCTGTTCACTAATAGATTGCTGAGATGTAATTCACATGGCATACAATTCCAATTTTATTACGTCACAGATCTGAATAGACACAGTCTAACTGAGAATGTTGCAAACAAGAACCCTCACCCATTAGCAGTCACCCATCTTTCTGCCCACAATCTGACTCTCATCCCCTGCCCCGGGCAACCACTAATTTGCTGTCTGTCTCTACAGATTCACCTGTTCTGGACAGGACAGGACAGGTCAATGGAATCATACAATATGAGATACAGACATTCGGTTCATAGTAGCCATTCTTGCAATTAATCTCCTCAGACATTCAAATGTAAACGTTTTTAATTACTTACATAAAGATGCAATCAAGCCTTGGGAATCTGCACCGTTTCCTACTAAAGACAAGTAGACGAAAGCGCCTTCCTAGAGGGAAGAAAAGGGAGACAGGCTCTGTTTAGCCTCACCACCACAGGGCACGGCAGACACAAAGGCCCTGCATGGCAGCAGCTCCCCCTGCCCCTCTGTAAGGTGTTCAAATCTTGGTCCAAGGACTTGAGGACCGCAGCATCTCTGGAGGCTAACCAGAGATATGAGCATGACCAAAATTAATAATAAATGTTACTTTTTAATGATTGGCACTATCAAACCAGAGGTGTGTTCTTATGTAGAAAAAAAGTGAAAACTTCATGGAGAGTGCTTGACTGTTGTACAAAATAAAAGTTAGCTTTAGATTATTCCAAAGATCTTAAATCTTCAAAAAGACTGGCAATAGTTCATTTTTTTAACCTTAAAAATGAAACACATGCCGGGCGGTGGTGGCGCATGCCTTTAATCCCAGCACTCGGGAGGCAGAGGCAGGCGGATCTCTGTGAGTTCGAGGCCAGCCTGGTCTACAAGAGCTAGTTCCAGGACAGGAACCAAAAGCTACGGAGAAACCCTGTCTCGAAAAATCAAAAAAAAAAAAATGAAACACATGTGGCCAGCAAATGTCTATAGTAGAGTTGAGCCCCTCCCTATATTATTGCCTGAGGGAAAATTCACAAAGGTTTTCTTTGGATATTTAGTGATCAAAATGTCTGCAAGTATCTAGTATTCCCCAATCATGGAAGTGTTTCTTTACCCAAGCTTCCAAAATTCAAACAGCACTCTCTGCCCCCCCCCCACAGCTTCATATGGCACTGGCACTCTCTGCCCCCACCCCACAGCATCATGTGACATTGGCACTCTCTGCTCACCCTCTACTCGCTTGGGTACCATGTTTTACCACTTCTGGGAGCTACCTGCTTCTTGAGACCATTCACCCTGTAAGTTATTCATTGACATCAGCCCCTCCCAGGCCTCCCAGCAGTAAGTCTGGGGCTTACTCTATGTCACACAACAATGAAGCTCTCCTCTTGTGCAAATCTGTACCTTCGGGAATGGACTGAAAGTGTCAGTCCACTCACCCATCTGTGTGGTGTGGGCTCCTTGCTAAGAGCACAAGATGCCTCTACGTTCTCATTCCGGAGTCCAGCGGCCGACTTCTGTCCATTTTGGTTGTTAACACAGAAGACACTGCACATGGATTAAATTCCTATCCTGGTTCTGCAAGCCTATGCAGTTACTTTCTCTGTTTTATCTGTCAGTGGTTTCTAAAACCGGAAAAGCCACTTGAGCCATTCCTACCATGCTGGTAGAGGTGGTGTTCACTGCAGGGGACCATGGATCTTTTTCTTTACTGACCCAGTGTCTTGACCCTGTGTCACTTTGTGTCCTTCCCTACCTGTCTCAAAATCACACTGCATTAGTTTGCTTCATATGTGGGCTAGGACTTACTAGTGAGAGATGTATGTCCATCCCACAGTTTCTGACTGTCTGTCCTTCTCTGATTTTCACGTTATCTCTTGACTGTCATTCAGCCCCTTTCCCGCCCTCATCTCTGCTAACACAGGCTCGGACGCAGGTCTATGCTACCTTTTCTTGACTCTCTTTCTGGGTCACCTAATTAGTAAATGTGCTTTGTCTGAGTAAATCTAAAATGCATCTTCTTGATAGGAGATTTAGACCAGGCATGGTAGGAAAAAACCTGTACACAAGTCAATGCCAGCATAGTCTACACTGTGAGTTATAGGCTAGCCAGAGATGAAAGAATAGGGGTGAGGAAGAGCAAGAATGAAAGGAAGGAAGAAAGAAATGGAGAAAGAAAGGGAAAAGGAAGACTCTAAAGCGTCCAGACTGAGGACGCAGCGCAGAGGCAGATCACTTTTATGGCGTGCACAAGAACCATTGTTCCGTTTCTACTTCCCAGGAAAACCAAGAGCAGCTGAAGGGTTTAAGATATATTTTATTTTTAATTGTATGCATGTGTCTGTCTGTGTGCATGTTAGTGCAAGTGAGAACAGGTGCCTAGGAGGTCAGAAGAGAGAGTTGGGTCCCCCGAGGTGAACATTTAGGTGGTTGCTAGGTTTGAGTCCTATGCAAGAACAGGATGCACTCTTGATCACTGGACTGGTCACCAAACCTACCCAGTTTATTTCAGTTGGCCTCTCTCTCTCTCTCTCTCTCTCTCTCTCTCTCTCTCTCTCTCTCTCACACACACACACACACACACACACACACACACACACATTACAATTCATAAACAGTAGCAAAATTACATTTATGAAGTAGCAATGAAATAATCATATGGTTGGGGTCAGCACAACATGAGGAACTGTATTAAAGGGTCTCAGCATTAGGAATGTTGAAACCTACTGCATTAGGAGGTAGAGGCAAGAAGATCAAGACAGTAAAGCTAGCCTTAGCTTTCTGGTGAGTTCTAGGCTAGCCTGGGACACATGAGGTCTTGTCTCAAATAGAAGATTAGCAGACTGCATCAAACTGCACCCAAGGTGTGATGGTGTAGAGTACACTGGCATCTCACAAAGGTGTGATAGTACACTGTCATCTCACAGGTGTAGAGGACACTGGCATCTCACAGGTGTAGAGGACACTGTCATCTCACAGGTGTAGAGGACACTGGCATCTCACAGGTGTAGAGGACACTGTCATCTCACAGGTGTAGAGGACACTGGCATCTCACAAAGGTGTAGAGGACACTGGCATCTCACAGGTATAGAGGACACTGGCATCTCACAGGTGTAGAGGACACTGGCATCTCACAAAGGTGTAGAGGACACTGGCATCTCACAGGTGTAGAGGACACTGGCATCTCACAGGTGTAGAGGACGCTGGCATCTCACAGGTGTAGAGGACGCTGGCATCTCACAGGTGTAGAGGACGCTGCCATCTCACAGGTGTAGAGTACACTGGCATCTCACAGGTGTAGAGGACACTGGCATCTCACAGGTGTAGAGGACACTGGATTCTCACAGGTGTAGAGGACACTGTCATCTCACAGGTGTAGAGGACACTGGCATCTCACAGGTGTAGAGTACACTGTCATCTCACAGGTGTAGAGTACACTGGCATCTCACAGGTGTAGAGGACTCTGTCATCTCACATGCGTAGAGGACTCTGTCATCTCACAGGTGTAGAGTAACTGGCATCTCACAGGTGTAGAGTACACTGTCATCTCACAGGTGTAGAGGACACTGGCATCTCACAGGTGTAGAGGACACTGTAATCTCACAGGTGTAGAGGACACTGGCATCTCACAGGTGTAGAGTACACTGTCATCTCACAGGTGTAGAGTACACTGGCATCTCACAGGTGTAGAGGACACTGGCATCTCACAGGTGTAGAGGACACCGGCATCTCACAGGTGTAGAGGACACTGGCATCTCACAGGTGTAGAGGACACTGGCATCTCACAGGTGTAGAGGACACTGGCATCTCACAGGTGTAGAGGACACTGGCATCTCACAGGTGTAGAGGACACTGGCATCTCACAGGTGTAGAGGACGCTGGCATCTCACAGGTGTAGAGGACGATGGCATCTCACAGGTGTAGAGGACACTGGCATCTCACAAAGTTGTAGAGGACATTGGCATCTCACAGGTGTAGAGTAACTGGCATCTCACAGGTGTAGAGTACACTGGCATCTCACAGGTGTAGAGTAACTGGCATCTCACAGGTGTAGAGGACACTGGCATCTCACAGGTGTAGAGGACACTGGCATCTCACAGGTGTAGAGGACACTGGCATCTCACAGGTGTAGAGGACACTGGCATCTCACAGGTGTAGAGGACACTGGCATCTCACAGGTGTAGAGGACATTGGCATCTCACAGGTGTAGAGGACACTGGCATCTCACAGGTGTAGAGGACACTGGCATCTCATAGGTGTAGAGGACACTGGCATCTCACAGGTGTAGAGGACACTGGCCTCTCACAGGTGTAGAGGACACTGGCCTCTCACAGGTGTAGAGTACACTGTCATCTCACAGGTGTAGAGGACACTGGCATCTCACAGGTGTAGAGGACACTGGCATCTCACAGGTGTAGAGGACACTGGCATCTCACAGGTGTAGAGTACACTGGCATCTCATAAAGGTGTAGAGTACACTGGCATCTCACAAAGGTGTAGAGGACACTGTCATCTCACAGGTGTAGAGGACACTGGCATCTCACAGGTGTAGAGGACACTGGCATCTCACAGGTGTAGAGGACACTGGCATCTCACAAACGTGTAGAGTACACTGTCATCTCACAGGTGTAGAGGACACTGGCATCTCACAGGTGTAGAGGACACTGGCATCTCACAAGTGTAGAGGACACTGGCATCTCACAGGTGTAGAGTACACTGGCATCTCACAGGTGTAGAGGACACTGGCATCTCACAAAGGTGTAGAGGACACTGGCATCTCACAAAGCTGTGATGGTACACTGGCATCTCACAAAGGTGTGGTCTCCAAGGCCAAGGGAGGAGGCACCAACTCTGAGCAACTGTGAGGTCTTTCCTCAAGGTTAACAATGAGAGTTGAGAAACTCTCTCCTTTCCCTCAGAGCAACTCTAATCTGGTAAACCTTCCCAGCAACCACATTAGCCAGCCATCCACTACCACAGCAGCTCTCCTGAGAAGGGCTGACTTCAGAGGAAGGGGTTCCTCGGCTCACCATTTCAGGGCGTGAGGGTCTGGATGGCCCAGCCTACAATGGACAGAGAATGGTGGAGTCTATGTGGAAGAGAAACCACATCTCAAACCAGACTTGGTCCTTTTACAGCAATCCTCTGTGTGAACTGTCAATGGGTCCCATGAGGACTACCATATCCCTCAATGACCTTCCCTTTAGATATCACCTCTTTCAGATGGTATTTCTGGAAGGTTCTGTGACTTCAGCCTGGTCTGTTCTTACACTGAAAGAACTTGGAGAAACACAAACAGGTAGGCAGAGGGCCACAGCAGCAGCTACCCTAAAGTCCACAGACACCCCAACAACACGCTGAGCAAGACACCGGAGGCAGAATCTGGACACACAAGGAGACCAGTGACTTGGGTTCTAAAGATTCCTGAGGACCCCTGACCAAGTCTGCTCTAACCACGCAGGAAGTACACCAGAAACCATCTAGTGTGATTTCCCAGGGGCCAACATTGTTAAAAAAGACCTACAGGGCTCCTGACATGAATCCACTTTGCGTTGATGAACTGAAAAGCTGCTTTTTCTACCTCTTCAAGTTATTTTAGGCTCTGAAGCTTCAAATATGCAGGGACCCTTTCATAAGCAGCACCCAAAGTTACTAGCTTCAGAAGTTTTACATCATAACACACACTCCATATCCAGCCTTTCAGATTAATAGCCAAAGTATACGGGAACTTAAAAATAACCAAAAGAGTAACAACAATTTTAACACCAAAACAAGTCAGTGAATCAATAAGCAAATGGACAAGCAAACAGCATTTCCCAAGGTTCAAAGGGCCACAAGCATGCGGCAAAATCTTCAACACCTTTAGCCATCAGGGACAAGTAAATCTGAACTACATTGAGACTCTATCTTACATCAGTTGGGATACCTAGCATACAAGGAATGGGTGCTAGAGAGACATTCAGAATGGTTAAGAGAACAGGCTGCTCTTCCAGAGGTCCTGAGTTCAAGTCCCAACAACCAGATGGCAGCCCACAGTTATCTATAATGAGATCTGATGCCCTCCTCCAAATGCAGAAAGAGCACCCATATACATAAAAATACATTTAAAAAAATCTAGCTGGGCACAATGATAGTATACACCTTTAAAATCTCAGAACCAGGCTGAACCAGGAGGATCTCTAATTCCAGGCTAACCTGAGATACATAATGAGACCCTTTCTCAGAAATCAGGCTGACAAAATGACTTATCAGGTCAAGGCACTTCCTGTCCAAGCTGGTAGACCTGTTTGAGCCTAGAACCCACATAGAGATGGAAAGAGAACCAAGGCCACAAAGTCGTCCTCAGACTTTCACAGAAGCGCCATGGTAGATACACATATACACACATGGTAATAATACTAAAAAACCCACACAGAAACCTACTACTGTAGAAACTTCCTAAAACACATACATACATAAAAAAATTTAAATGGAGTCAATATGTAATGGAGGAGACAATACTCTAACTAGACATCAAATGGTACCACGTAAAGACCCCAGTTATAGGGATTGGCAT